AACAACAGGAAAATTAAAGAGTATCAGATGTGCACAGCTTCATATCACACCAAGAAAAAGAACATTTCTCTCTGAGATCACTATGACGACCTTAAAACATTGCCATCATTTTCATCAACCTTCATCTTTTGAAACCTTTTGTTACGAGTTTGTCTGTTAGTTGACGACTTCTTACATGAAAATATAGCACACGGAGCAGTTATCAGCCTAATGATTGGTCATGTTTATACCTAATATAATGGCGATGGTGTTATATTCTTCCTTCTACAACCGTATTGTCTTGAGAAAGACAATTAAATTTTTGATGATAGTAATTTATTCTTTTATGAATCGTCCTGACCAATATCTATCATAAACATACACTCTCAGTAAATATATTGATAAAAGTTGATATTCTATATCAAGTTTATAATGAAAACAGGCAATGATTTCTCTGAAATAACTTCTTTCAAATGCATAGACGTGAATGATCTCGTTATCGAGCAATAAGCAATACATTGTCACTGCAAGCGTGGGTATACACCAAATCTTTATCTTTTTATTTCTTTCGCAATTGCACGGAAATATATAATCTCTTAGCTCTTGCAATATGTGTGGGCAGAAATAGCATGTTCTTGGTTTGGTTCCAGACAAAGAAAAAAATTACTTTTCACAAGGTGTATATTTGTAATTTGAATGTTAAAACGTCAAATCAAAGCCTGGCAACTAGAGCCTCGGGAAGTCGTTTGCTAATACGTTTATTCTCTCACAAGGCAACTAAAGGCAGTTTAGTATGACATTAGAATGAGTATTTCCTTTGTACGCATGATGTCAACGTTGCACAAAACGATCATGATTATTAGTATTTGCCGGGTTACATAACTCGTCATTTGATCAGCTACCACTCATAAAACAAACACCTTTTTAACTGCGTAGAGATTCCTTTTTCGTTTATTTCATTTGAGAAATGTGACTTGTGTATTATAACTAAGACAAATGTAGGAAGTTTATCCAGGTACATTTAACAAAATTGTCTTGAAGTTAGAATGTTAATAGAATAGAAGTTCTAATAAAACAGCCTATAGAGGATTTGGGTGTGACGTTTCGATGACCACACGGTCACTTTCATTTGAAACTAAAAATCTGTTGAAGGAGACCGTGTCATCGAAATGTCACACTCAAACCTTCTACTGGTTGGGTTATAAATCTTTATTGTGAAGACGTACTGAGCATCACACGTGCAACCTTTCCATGCTAGTAATTTCCTAGGCAAACTCAAGTTATTAGGACCGTGAGTTAGATAACGATTTCAGGAAAACGATATTTAGTTTAATAATTACCCAGGGAGTCAAAATAATCTCTCTCGAGCAAAACATGCATGACTGCTAATGGTCTTATTTAAACAAAAATATGAAGTAATGATGACGAATCACAGAGTCTACTTAGGTTTGCCGCATCGATCTCCGACCCCTGTGGTCTTAATACTAGTACTGGATATGGACCGTTGGGGTTGAAACCTGGGCCGCGTCAATGTTCACACAATCTGGGCAATATGATTATTTTGACGTCGTAATGGATAAGATCGATCAACTTGTTTGCGAATTCGATTAGCATGGCAAACTACAAGTGTTTTAGTACTACAAGTTAAAATCAGGTTTTGTACCGGGATAGAGTGTCGATGATCACTTCACATATTGATCATTCATTGTAGTTAACAAAAGAACTCTAAATGTCAAGTAAAAATACACCCTATCGTTGCCGACTGAAAAGGTCACCTTTTGCCAGCAAAACAGGGTGTCCTACAATATCCAAGTATTAACTCGTACCTGGTAATTATCAACCCCGCTAGCTAAACCTTAGACAAAGATAAACTCGCACCATCCGCTGAATCTAACTAACCAACGGAATAGTTTTTGTAAAAAAAAAAAAATTCTTGTATCCTCTTCTTGTTGCCGATGTTTTGCCTCCCAATATCGTGCCGCCACTTCCGGATTACGACAATGCGGCCAGTTGTCGGTATAACGTGTCCCAGTTGGATGTAGTACATGTTCAGGTCATGTTATAACAGTGTGATGTCACTTTTAAAACATTCCTCAGTAACTACACCTATCTATATGTACCATCTTCATGTGACAAGGACGGCAAACCTCACGCAAACAAATTGTTTATGGAGATTTCTGTTGTCACGTCTAGGTATACAACATGATGGTATTGTAATGTTATTAAATTTCGCGGGACTAAAAGTTTCAGTCTGAGCTATTTTATGGATATTTAATTTCGCGTATGTCTATACACTGATATTTATGTATATAACAGATTTCCTGAATATATACAAAGATATATTTGAATAGCTTTACATTTGCTTGTTATTTAATTTAGCGTTATTTTCAATCAATGAGATCATAGCAAAGTGACATACACCGCGAATAATATGAACTAAACAGTAATATGACCCTAGAATAACCATATATATAAAGACATAAAAATCATATCACTCGGTAACCACATGCACACGAAAATACGCATGGACATGCACTGCGCTCAACATATTTCACTTTCACAACAAGACTTTATTCCCAACATGACGTACCAGTTAACACGTTGCACACATCACCGGAGTACTTACGGCAGAATGGTGCCAGTAACAGGGCTTTCTATCGGAAGTAGGGTTAAGTTGATGGGTATCGCAATGATACGGTTCAGAATATACATGATATGTACATTTGTTCTTGACGTTCTTTTGAAATAAGCAAATAGAGTGAGCATCACTGACGACACCAAGAAGGACGATATAGATGTATGATACAGTTTAATTCTTTGTTTGGCTCTACTGTATCTAACTCTAAATTTGTATGAAAAGGTGCTATTAACTTGTTTGTCTTTAGTACAATAACTTATCAGTTTAAAATGTATTGAGATTTGACGACAGTGCACTTCCTTTCAACAATTAGGCCCTTAGCATCACTGACGAGTTATTTAAGGATTAAACAGCTGTGTAATGACGTTAGTTTCATTGTTTGGCTATATTTTAACATTGTATTTTTGTATATTATTCACCCGTGTTTTTTCTACATTCTTATTTAGCCAATACTCTCACCGTTTGAAACATATTACTACATCATTACGCATTTTAAAAATCTATGCAAGATGGTTGCAAAACCGAACAGCATGCATGAATAAGCATGATCTAAGGATCTGTTGCTGCTAGCATTACCAGCAATACGGTCGTGCTTAAACGGGAATTACTACGTAGCGTTACAATCCGCTTTAGTCCACTTCAATAGGAAATGCACTTTCCCCTAAGTCGGCACACATTCTGTTGCCAATAAGCATTAAAACGGTTTCTTGTGGCGTTGTTGGCATATGAATGGCCAAAGCGGGAATAGCGTAAAATTTAATGGAATAAGTTTATTGTCTTTTGTATTCCCTTTTGAAGTCATATTTCCATTTATGTTTAATACGTGTAGATATCAACCAATTTTGTCTGCTTTAATAACCAACTTTTATTTTTCATAACTTAACAAATCAATTTCCCAAGTGTAACACGTGTTGTGTGTCCCTTTGAACGGAAATGTGTGTAACGCAATATATATATACCTGTGCATTTACTGCATACGATTTTTTTTTGTGGTGTTTTTATCATCACGACGCTCTGTGTATATAGTTATCATACAGACCATACTGTTTGTCTGCAGTTGATAACTATCTCGACGAACATCGATATTTCGGTACAATAGCTATTAGTTCCTAGATACATGTATGATGTTTCTGCTTGGATGTGCAATAAGACTAAAAACAGAACGGACCATACCAGTTTTCTATGGTCAATGAAGGAGCTAAATTATCCTGCTTAACCCATACCTTTAACCCTTTGATATTTTACTACCCATACTGCTATATTTCGAGGTTTTAAAAGAAAATTCATTTTGAAAATCCATTTTGTTCCGTTGTTGTTTACCTTGTTCAAGTTTTGGAACTTAATATTAATCGCTTGAATTTACAAAAATGTACATGGCGGATGTCGTCGATAAAGCATATATCCATAAATCATTTCTGGCATAAAGGTATAATTTTCTCTTATACCTGCCAAAAAACGTTTTAATCACTTGTAATCCCAGGAATCTATTAAGATTAAAAGAGCAAATATGTGAGTTAGCGTTATACTCCTTTAAAATCTAACTTGAATTTAGATAGCTCGATGGGCAAGTTAGATTATTCTGTTTCAAGGATCGTGCTGTCTGCCCGGCGTCCCTTTTTTCTTCACTATAACCAGGTGACATCAGGCCATGATGGATTATTGAATAATAAAATGCTCGGATCGAGGGCTTTCATATTTGTGCATATTAATTACCTGGATCCATTTTAAAAGGTCACCGTAAATATATGCACTTAATCACGCATACCTTTTCTTTTCGATAAGGAGATCGTATCATTTAGCCAGCGCTATGGTTGGTTCGATTGGTATCGCAACTGTTCGTTCTGGTAATTTACATTGAAATTTTCAAGATAATCTTCAAACCCAAAGGGACCAGAGTGATGAAACATGATGAGTAGTTTGCTTGGATGCAGGGCGGCTTTCAAGTTTGGTAAAAAATAATCTTGGTCCACATCACATGTGTAAAACGATTAAATATCTCATCGACAAAAAGGCCAAGGTCCATATGGTACATTTGGTCGTATACTCTGTATACTGTGTTTGATGGCGTGGATGTGTGTATGCTGCGGATATATACGATTAAAACTGACAGAATTCTGCACTTATACATACACTGTGGGAATTGTGATGTTTCTGTGCTGTTATCTACGGTGAATAACTCCCTATATTGTCAAATATTGAGATATAAACTAAAAAAAATACTGATTTTTATATGTCTGTTATTAAAGTTTGATTGTTATTAAATGTACAATGTGGAGAGTTAAAACATATTCCCCGTTAATATCAAATTTACATAAGCATTTATAAAAAGTATTGTCCTGTAATATTGTATTAATCAGTAATAAACATTGAATGATTTACTTACCCGATAAATGTTATGACGCCTACTTTCTCAATGTCTTCCTTTAAAGTCATCCAACAATCCTCTAACACTTTAATCTCTTCATCAGTAAGACGTGGTTCCTCTCCCGGGCTTAAGTCCGAGGGGGCCGACGTTTCATTTTGTAGACGTTTCTCTTTAACACATTTGTCTATGATGCAACCCATTGCGTGATATTCTACACAGACTTGTCGTTGAATACATTCATCTCACAGTAGTGACTTTTCTTTTCTGTCTTACTGCTCGTCTAAAAACCACTGCATGTTTTCCCAACACATTGCTCCCTAAGATAAAGCCCCAGCCTCCACATCGTAATACAAGTGTCGACATAAATATTTAACAAGTCCGATTGAAGGCACGCGTGACAGGTACTGATACTCTCGGCTGATAAATCGTGATGCTTTGTGAGGTTAGTAAGCATATCAGGAGTTTAAATTGTCGAAGAATACATCCTTACATTGGTGTATCTAAATCAGACCTGGATCGATATTTCGAGGCTGGAGTGTAGCCCCATGAGAACTATTGAATAAAATACCCGCTATTCGTATGAGTAAAGCATGTGCTAGTGGCTCTCATTAACAACAGTCCATGGAGTCACTGTATCTATTTCATTTCCACGAGTTGCTTTCACTCAATAATGATCTCCAGACGCTGATACATACTGTTTACAGTAGGGACGGGTCGGAGGTGAGGTGTCGACCTAATGAAGGAAACACAGGAAAATAGCAGAGAGATGAAATGTTTTAGACCAAAATTAGGAACATAACTATCATAATTAGGATATTTTTGTTCCATTTAGCATTGTCAATAAAATGGAAATTCTTATTTGTTTGATGAATGTGGCCGTGTAGTCATCGAAACGCTGAAATCTTTCACTGATTATGTTATGAGAACTTCTACATTACTCTCAATTTCCCTTTATATCTAGACGATTTCCCTCGCTCCCCCTAATACCAACAATCTATTTAACTCTCTGATGCTAATTTCATTTGGAGAACCAGATATGAATAGAGCCACTGATGAGTAGTACATCGATTTCGTTTCTGCGTACTTAGTTAAAATTTGGTCGAAAATGTTAACCTTCTGGTTGTCATGGTAGACATCTGTTGTCTAAGAACATTTACTGTAAATCTAAGGTCCACAAAGAAATCAATCAGTAAATAAACTTTGTCTGGGTATAAATTATTTAATACATAGCCTATGCAAACTTTGGAAAAGCAAAGAAATGTTGTAAACACAATACTAGTCGGGAAAGGTAAAAAATAAATTGTCCACATACTTGTGCATGCAATGTCATAAAGAAATGTTTTACTTAGTGTTGAATTCAAAATTATTGGGCTATCTTTCAGATTGTCGTCACGACCTTCGTCAAACGCTTTCTCGTATTTCACAGTCTTTATTTCCTCAGTGGACATTATTTTACACCTCTAAATCGTAGACATATATATATATATACAGTCCTGTCCCACCTGTGTATGCTACCGCCTTTTAAATATTCATCCTTAAACACAGGCAATATTGCCACCACCAGGCCACAATCCTGTAATCTCAGTGTCCTAATGATTATTCGTTCCTAGGCACTGCCAATATCACCACTAGTCCATGTTTCCAGTTTCATTTGCGAACGAATGTTAAATAGGTTATCAGATTTAACTGACTGGTTATGAACTTCTATGTTAGTGAAAATCGTGCAGTAGTAGTATGTCGGCGTAAAGTCATCTTCAATATGAACATGTGCCTAAACCTATTTGTTACCATTATGTTTATTTAATGTGATGTTTTATCATAAGTCAATAGCGCAATTTTACACAGATTTGGATAAGATACCGTATCGCAGAATTAAACTGCATCATACCGCTGTTTTTCGTTCTAAGACACGCAAGTAGTACTAAGGGCATAAAGATTGAAGCATAGAATGTTTTTTCACATATCAGATAATTTTAGAACAGCATCAAGTACATGTGTAAAGTCTGAACCGTGCCACTATTGAATTATTTCACGATATCGGAGTTAAAATGTATTTAAATTAACCAAACGAATTGGTAATATCACATTTACTAAAGAATAAAAACAAATGCTCACTGTAATTTTAACACTGACTCCTCCGGGGTATCACACATGATTTAGTTGTTTAATTAAATGATTGGTAAATCCCTCCATCGTTACATCGCGCCTCCTGTCTCCTATCCTTACTGAGAATTACCGCCACCTCTAAAATTCAATAACCTTCAGAAACAATATCGAACCTGTACCTCCTGACCTGAATAAGAAATCTTATATTTTTATATATGATAAACAAAAGTTAATGAGCTATCTTCGGCACCGCCCTATGATATATTGTACAATTAATTTTATAAGAAATGTGCATATTTTATTAGGTAATGTAACATTTGGTTTGTTAACTCAAGGGATAAAACGTGGAAATGGACATTGATGTTGGTGTGTTTTATCATATCAAGAAAATCAACTATATAAATAAAGATAAATATGTAATATTTAACACTTAAAATATTTTCGTATTAACGTGCTTTTACGACTGTTTGCTAAACGTTGATATTCACACAGACATGGAAATGGAAATTGATGTTGGTGTGTATTATCATATCAAGAGAATCCTAGAGACAATAACTATATCAATAAAGATATATATGAACTATCTAAAACTTTAAGTAAAAGTACCTTATAAATTACAGTAGTTATCTTAAATACTGTATGACAGCTCTCATTAATTATAGATATAATATACGTTCTATGTGGTATTATAGAGAACGGTTTATTAAGCAACGTATACTTTAAATCAAATAACATAATAATTACAAGACATATACATTACATATAATTAAATCATACAGATATAGGTATTTTGTTAACGTATGGGCTATAGAAGATATCCCAATAATGCTGATTTTCAACATTATCGTTATAATGGCAGACGTTAATATACAGTCTCTAGGGTTAGGTCTATGGAATCACACCCACGTCTTTATTAATCCAGATATATCCTTCCCCACGATAAATCCTGGCACAAAGCCACTAATACCCCAAGCGGTCCTGTCATTGCTGAAGTATATTAAATTATGGAAATGTTGAAAACAGCATCAGCAGCTTATATATCAACACTAAGACGAAAAACAATAATAGATACGTAACACCAAAATTAGGGGTATTTTCACGTCTGTTTGTGTTTTTATTTTAAAAAACGTTCCTTTTAAAATTGGGAAATGTCTTTCATCACTTGCGCATTTGATGCATCTGGTTTCCGTGGCGTCAAAAAGTCACCTTCACGGCTGTTTGTTTAACGTTGATATTCACATAGACTGCATATATCATTTAGTTTTTAAAACTATTGTTTTTTATTTAAAAAAAACGATACTGTTAAAATTGGGAAATGTCTTTCATCACTTGCGCATTTTGATACATCTGGTTTCCACGACATTCAGAAAATGACCTCTCAAGTTCTTTGCAAAGTCCTTATCTTCGAGAGTGAGATTCAGTGTCAATGCATACAATAGGTCATCATTTGTATTGTTTCGGCTATAAATATATATCAGATATGGACAAGGACATCAACATCTGTTGTTCATAGTAATTATGCACATATCCTGGTCAGTAGACCTTTTCAATAAGTATTTTTAAGTGGTGTGAGTTTTAGCGCACAAGCCCGAATGGAAAGCGATCTAATGCCTGGTTCGGCGTTCGGCGTCAACTTTGTTTTTATATCACAATTCCTTTTCAATTAAAGAAAACCTGAGGTCATGACATTCGTGGTCAAAGAACCAATGATGTAGACCATTGTCAAAAAATCAAGATATCCGTTTTTGCTGCTTCACCTTTAACGTATAAACACGTGGAAATGAATTTAGAATAACTCTCTTTATAACGATAAATTGAGGATTGATAGCAACAGAAACACGTTCACCTAAACGAGAAAACCTTTAGAGAGGAAATTAAGCGTGCCGTAGAAACATGTATACACTTGAACATAATTGAGGGACCATCGATTTCGGTATGAAACTGATTTTCCTTCTGTGAAATTGAACCTTGTAGAGTCAAGTTTTGTGTTTGGTGTCGTAGGCCACTAAGCGATTCACCCAAATCAACGATAACCCGGATTAAACTGAGGTACCCAGAACTTTAATAAAACACAAGTTTGCGTTGCCACTATTAGCAGCGTTTGCACCAATATTACTGGTAATTCATACAGGTCTTCACGCTGTACTTTAAAACTGCACGTCGAAAATTGACAAATGCTGAAAGATGGCAAGCTTCCAGAATGGCTCAAGGTGGTATGACATAGAGGCAAGTATAAAATAGAAGTTCTTATAACATAACCAGCAATAGATCTACTATTGGTTGGTTCATAACAGCTTCTACTCTATTGAAATTACCAACTTGACGAAAATGTTTTCAAAAAAAAAAAAAAAAAAAAAAAAAAAAAGGGCGAAGACTGACTTCTGTGTAAACAGACAAGGTGGGTCCCTTCACCGCTGCCAACAGTTTCAGAGGACAGCGTTAATTCAGTCTTCGTGTTGGTCGGCGTACCGTCAAACGACGCTTGAACAATTGGCGACATCGCCCACTTTGTGCACAACTATCTTCAACAAAAAGTGATAAATGCAGTTCAATAGCGTGCTCTCAATCGTTGACAAACTGTCTGTGACAAAAAAGTCAATGCACGGAGATCCAAATGCCAAACAACTGGAAAATTACGGACTATATTGATTTAAGAATGGCAGATGTTTTCCGGGAACAAGATTCGACCTCTGGTATGAGACGACGGGCACAAGAATTGATCCTGATACATGACAGCTATACCCGATATTTTCATACCCAATAGAACCCCTTGATAATTTTATCTTCTTTATCCAGTAACATGACGTATCTCTTAACAAAAGACAGTAATATCAAACTTTTTTTCTAGACTTTGTGAAAGCCTTTTTAAGCATGTCTTTTAAAAGTCATAAAAGCACTCCCGGTTTTGTAAATTTAATTTTCTATCGACTGTATATAATTTCGTTAGATGCCTGAAAACATTCCTGGATATCTTTTTGAGTTGTCATAGAATAGTGTTTCTTATGTACAGAGAGCAGATGAAGTCTCCGACCTAACAGGTCTGTTTAACGTCGTAGATCTGAATAAAATATTTAATTACTCTCGAGAGATTGATTTTTTTTCACAAAATATGAATTATTTCTTTTATAATTAGACGTGTGCGTCATTTTGTACTGTCTGTTTGTTTTATCGAACGAAATGAACTTTTTTCAGCATGTTGTTGTTTTCATGTGCAATATGCCATCATTTTGTTTCAGCCTTTGAAACGTTTAATTTCATAGCGTTTCCTTCAACTGCAACTTTAAACAAAGATGTTTGGCCAAAATGATACTTGCTTTCGACAAGCTGGCCCCCAAAAAAATCATAAATCAGTTGTAGACAAAGCAGCGATACAAGCAGGTTGTGCTTAATAGAGACAAATAACTGTTATTATATTTCACTAATAGTCTTTTCACGTTTTGCAAATCACATGTTGATGCCCTTTAAAACTATAATATCTGCAGTTCAGGACTTTGTGTTACATGCAAAA